TATTATATATCATTAATAATATATATCATATAATATATAACAATATATTAATTCGCCAGCAAACTTAAAAAATTTTTTAGTTAAATTAATGAAACAGTCAATTTTTTATTGCAGTAATAAAATAGTTGATGCAAAAGATTCATGTTATATTTTTTTTCTTTGCGTTATTTCATAAATATTCGGGTTTAGTAAAAAGTTAGTTTTCAGTAATCAAATGTCAATTACTTTGGTCAAGCCTCGCAGGTTTCAAATGTAACCTTTGAATTACATACTCAGGCATGCAATACGTTGGATTGATCTTTTTTAGAGGATAGTCAGTATTTAAGAGTGAGAGTGCAGTTAAGCCAAAGAGAGTATGAAAAGGATCAGCAACATCTCCTGGACGATCACTGAATCCACCTGATTCTGTATCTTGACATGCTAGTACAAATTTTACCTGTAAATTAATATTAATAATAATAAAATTTGTTTTGCTTATTTTTAATGAATATGTATCACACAGTACTAATAGTAATATTATTTTCATAGTATCTTTTGATTACTGAATTAGATGTACCAAAAATGTTACAAATATGATTAATTATTTAATTAGAGATTACTTCTTTAATTCTTTTGAAGAAATATGTACCAATTGTTCCTTATTAACCCAATGAAGGCGTCCCAAAATCGTTAGTGCAGAAAGTACCCACCAAGAATAACAAACATCAGGTAATTTTTCTGGTCTACCATTTAAACCTCCAGACGGAAGTTGTCTTTCACAAAGCCACCAACTTAATTGATCTGCATCTACTAAGTGAAGATTACCTGTCAAAATTTAACGTCTTTATGTTATTTAATTAAAAAAAAAGATAAGAAATTGTGAATTCTTTTTTATTTTATCACATACAGAATAATTAGAAATAAATGAAAATTACCAGTTATTGATAAAAGCCCTATGGAACAGTAAATCATACCAGCATGACTTTCAGCTCCAGGTTTTGATCCAAAGCCACTATCAAAGTTCATACACTTCATTACGAATTCAACTGCCTTGTCTACATCTATTACATCTAATCGATTCTAAAATAATATATTATTTAATGTTACAATATTTCATTATCATAAACATTATAAATACTGAAATATACTAATTTGATATATTAGTATAGTATTTTATATAAATTTAATATATCTTTTCACAGTATGTTTATTTACCAGAAGTGATAAAGTTGCTACAGCACAGAAGGAAAATCTCATATCAACTTCACCCCATATATCACCTGTGAAACTTCCATCTGGCTGTTGTCTTTCTTTTACATATTTCACAACTTTTTCTATATCTATGGTATCCAGTGCATTATAAATGCAAAGTATTTGTACTGCGCTCAAAGTGTAAAGAATATGTGGATCATGTTGCAAACTTGCAGCTATACCGCCACTTTCTGTTTGACATTGAGCAATAAATTCTAACACCTCATTACGATTTGTCTGTTCAAGTTTACCCATAAGATCCAATGCTGTCAAACCCCAATACATTCCAGACATTCTCATATGCTCTGTCATACAATACATCTGAAATTTATTAAAGTCTCCATTAATTGTGCGGTAAATCAATTTAATTGTGTGCATATGTATGTTGTTCTCATATTATTTAAAATACAAAAGTTTGCCTGCATTGATTGTGGGTAAAAGATAATTTAATGTAAAATAAATATTGCTATTGATACTTACATATTCATCTTTATCAGTACCATAAGATAGTAAAAAGTTCGCATGTTTTTCCAGTAGCAATTCAGGAACTGAAGCTGGAAGTTCGATGTCATGTTTTAACACTGGCTAAAATGCAAATTGAAAGTTTTATTAAAAAATATTACTTTTTACACATTCTACTCTAAACTTTTTTTAAAAACTAATTCTATAGGACTTATACAAAATTATATTTTATTTGATTTATGAAATAATTGAAGAAAATAAAAATTGTTTTTAACCTATAATAAATAATTTGTATTAAACTGCATCTTCACTCACCATGTTATAAAGTTATCTTAAAAAAAGTAAGCAGATCACTATGTTTTGCTAACTTTTATTCATCTAAATAGGTTTATAAAAACTTTTTACACTTGTTACGTCTCTGATAAAAATATTCAAATATACACCTCATACTTTGTTCATCTAACCTCAAAACTGAAAAATTTTACTAGACTGATAGATCTTAGTGACACAAGCAAAAAGACGCGGATTTTTAAAAGGTTATCTTTAGAAGAGAAAGTCGTCACAAATTTTCATAGGAGAAATAACGTTAAAAATAATTTGTTTATTTTCAAATAGGTATGAAATAATTTTTCATTTAGAATAGACAATATATTTAACTTTTAAGTAAATAGTTTATTGTTATAAGATTATTTTGTATTTAATAGTTTGAATAAGTTTTGTAGAAAAACGACATTGGTTTAACACTTCAATTATTTTTTTTTCTTTCACCACATTCATTACATTCAGGAACTCCAAAGTTCACTAAAACAAAGAAAATATTAAATATTAAATTTTACAAATGTCATTATACGACAAATTGATTTGTATAATTTCTTTAAACTCAATTTTTCAAATAACGATTTTGGTGTAATATAGCAATAAAATAATTTACAAGTTATTAAAATTATTTAAATAATATAATCATAATTTAAAAATGCAATAACTTTTTGTAGGTTCATTTTGCTTTATTTTACCTAAATTAATATTCAGCTAGATATGGATTCTTCCTCATCATCATCAACCTCGTCATCAGTAGAATTCGTACTTCTGACGTCTTCGTTACTCTGCTGGTCTTGAGTATCTTGATCATCTTGTTGATCTTCTTGTTCGTCCTCATCCTCTTGATTGGACATTTCTTCCCAATTTTCATTTGATTCGCTTTCTAAATCTTCGTCTTCAACTCCGCCATCTTCATCTGATGAATCTGTTCGTATTAGTGATCTTAGGTTTAAATAATATATTTAAAAATATTATTTCAATAAAGTTGTACATAAAGTTTTCATTACAAACCTGTATCTTGGTAGACAAGACAGTTCTCAGTGAGGTCTTTGTCATGTTCTTCCACTGTCTGAGAAATTTGACCAGTAACGAGAGAGACTCGACCTTTAAGTTTTGAGAGTTCTGTTAAGAGAGTTAGTTTGGTGTCTATTAAACTTAAAATTGGTCCGAGTAACTCTACAAGATTTGGTTGTGATAATAAATGTCCAGCATGGGCCGTTAACAATGCCTCCAACCATCGCACAGCAATTTTACTCCTAGAATACAAAATCAGGCGTGATTTTTATGTTTCTATAATTAACGGATTAAATGTAATAAAAAAAAATTAACATTTGAAAATCTTACGTATATGTTTTACCCTGAAGCAGAATGGTAAGTTCTTTAACAAGAGGTCCAATTGCTTGTATTGGTAGCTTAGCAATAGTATTCCTAATAATAGACTCATTTTTTGTGAGGAAAATGTTACTCAAAATAGTTTTATCTTTACTATTTAAGCCTTGTATTAAAAGTTGAGCCCTATTGCTACCTGCACTAGTAATTTTCCCTGTAGGATTGCTCTCGGCGCTTAAGCTTAAATTTTCCAATCTGTCTTTTAACAATAATTGCGACCCAACACTGCTTCTACTTCTTTTTTGCGTGGTTTCAATTATTCCTATAAAAGACAAATCAATTTATAAGAGGATATAAATATTTTTTGTCTATCTTCATCAAATTTAAAATATGATTCTAATAACAGAGTTATTTTGGATTACACTTATGTAACTATTTTTATTTTCACAATATATAAAACGCTCAACGGTACATATAAATGCTATATTTAACATTGTTTCACTGTTCAGGCCTTGAGCGTTTTATAATTTGCTATAAGTAAATATGATTTTTTTCAATTATATAATGTGTTTATTTCATAATATTTGTTAGATAAGATTCATTCAATATTGAACCTATGCTTATGTATAAAAGATCTTCGTGTGCACCAGATATGATGTACGAGATAGTGAATATGTTAAAACAAAGAATAAATACCTGGTCTAAGATATTCAACATTATCTTCAATTATAGTAGACTTCACTTTCGAAATCTCCTCCTTTTTATCTTTACTTCTTTTGAATTCTGAACGTACTAAGTACTGTACTTTATCAGAAAAATCTGGTGTCACTTTCTCAAATATAGGATTGATATATGTTCCATATGCTAACAATAATTTTTGATCTTCCGTCAATTGCCCATTCATGATAGAAATTTGCTCAACACTATCTTTCTGGCTGATATCAGAAGCGACTGCGATATTTAAACTTGGTTTTAAAGGTTTCGATCGACCATTCGGTTGGTACTGAAATAAATGTGCTTGACCAGACCTGGTTACTGCCAATACTGTCGCGTTAGAATTTTCAGAAACATGTACGGAAACACTTATTGGATCATCTTGTAGAGCTAAACTTGTCACAGGAGTTCTTTCATTTCTTTGCTGAAAAAATATATTTTTTTAAATTAGTAAGTGTAATTGTATATTTGATTAAAATTGAATTGAAATTTTGAAGCGAACATATGAAACTTTTTATAATTAATGATAAAACTAATTTGGATAATAAAATCGTATTTGAAACGCTTTATCAGAAATTTTCAAAATCCAAATAGATTTGTAATGTATAATTTTGACAATCGAATTTTTTTTGTTTTTTGGTTTGATTGACTAATGGGAATAAGAAGTTAAAA